GGCCTTACCAGAAGTGGAACTAAGTCAAGGGGTCCCTAATGTGGGAAATTACCAATGCGTAGTCAGGTAAAAATACAAAGGAATTTAATAGGGAAATTCCTTACTTACAGAGTGACCTAGCCAGCTGGTGGGCAGCAGTAAGTACAGCAAGCCGAAGATGAAAGCAAAAGCAGGGCTGTCATGTAAGCAGGCAAAGCTACAGCATCCCCTACTATTCCCCTTTTAGTCTAAAAGAGGATTAAAACTTAATAGTGCAAAGTGTCCAAAATTAACAATCATAAAGGTGAAATATAAGAAGATACAACAATCTGCTTATGTCACATCTATTTTAACTAAACCCTAAAGTCATATAAAAGAAGTGTCCAAGCCTGAACACCTGATTCCAGTCCCAACCATAAACAGTAGGAAGCTATCCCTAACTAGGTATTTACACTATCCTAAATGACAACAATGGGGGAAAGGGGGCATAGCATCCTCTAAGTTACTCCTGCTGAAATGGGATGGTGATAGCCTAGTGCGGTCCTGTAGGAAGAAAATATTAGTATAGTAAAAGTCTTAAATGGATGTATCCAGTCCATGTTAGATGGGATTCGCTTGATTGAAGATCTAAGATACTGCTCATCTCCTGAAACTGCATCCAACAAGACCAGATTGAACCTCTTAGATGTACCTCAACTGAAGAATGAATAAAATAAATGTGGTACATCTATACAATAGAGTATTGCTCAGCTGTTAAAAACAATGACATTATAAAATCTTTAGGTAAATGTATCGAACTAGAAAAAAAACATTCAGAGTGAGGTAACCCAGACCTAGAAAGGAAAACACAGTATATGCTGACTCATAAGTGGATATTAGCTGTAAGATAAAGGATAACTACATTACAATATATAGACCCAGAGAGATGAGGTAACAAGGAGGATTCAAGGGGTACAGCCAGATCTCCCTGGGAAGGGAAATAGAGATTCCATGAGTGAAATGCAGGCTGGTTGAGATGGGATCATGAGCCATCATGTTGTGGGAGGAATACTGAAAGAGACTACTAAAAAGAGGGGAATTTTGGAGTCAGGTAAAAACCAGGCACAAGGGGATCTCCCAGTAACCTACAACAATGGCACCAGCTAAGACTCCTAAGAGATATGTGGCCGAAACTAGACATTTCCTGTGACCAAGCAATACTTCCAGTGGAGGGATTGGGACACCAGCTCAGCCACATAATGTTAGACTTACATTATGTAATGCCTATGGGATGTGCTGGGGTAAGGGTGGCCTGAAGATTGAAGGAGTGGCCAACTAATGACTGGTCTAGCCTAAAATCCAGGAAGAGTAAACCCACCCCTGACACTGCCTGGGGCACCAGGACCCAGAGACCTAGGATAGAGCCAAACATGACTGTAGCAAAAAAAAATGTCAATGTAACAATGCCTAAAGATTTTTCTGATATACTTATAGATTGGTGCCTAGCCCAACTGACATCAGAGGAGCTTCATCCAGCAACTGATTGAAACATGTAGACCCACAGCCAAATGTTAGGCGGAGCTTGGGAAATCCTGCTAAAGAGGAAGAGAGAGGATTCCAGAAGCCAGAAGGGTCAAGGACACCTCATGAAAACTCACAGAATCAACTAACCTGGGTTCATAGGTGTTCCCAGAGCCTGAAACAATACCCAGGAAGCTTGCATGGGATTGAGTCTGAATATATGTTGGGATTGTGTAGCTTGGTCCTTTGTAGGACTCCTAACAGTGGGGAACAGGGGCTGTCTCTGACACCTTTATTGGATTTGGGGAATCTACTCCTCATACTAGGTCACCTTGCCCAACCTTAATACATGAGGAGATTCTTAGTCTTATGGCAACTTGATGCACCATGTGTTGTTGATATTCAAGGAAGATCTGATCTGAACAGAAATGGAGGAGTAGATGGGGTAGGAACAGAGAGAGGTGGTAGGATGAGACTTGGGGGAAAGAAGAGGGAGGAAAAATTGTGACCAATATGTAAAATAATAAATAAATAAATAAACAAAAAGTTTCAATGGTCAGAATAACTAGCATAAACAAAAGAAGAAAGAATTAAAACAATAAAGACCCAGGCAGAAAGGAATTCATACATTACTTGTGGTGATGTAAATCCCTGACACTATATTTCTTCCAAAAAATAAAAGAATTTAAGGAAAATTCCATATGGTCTGTCAATTAAAATTGTCTATATCCAAAGGAATAAAATTCAGCTTGCTATAGAAGTATATATGTAGTCATGATTGTTATGTATTCTCATAATGAGGTAATGGAATCACCCCAAGTGCTCAACAACGGATGAAAAGATAAATAAAATATAGATACATGTGTAGGCATGAGTTTTCTGGTCTGTCTGGTCCCGCTAACTTGAGCACCAAAGAAACACACAGATAATATATCAATTAAGAAACTGTTGGCTGATACCTGGG